GTGACAGACAAAGCCGCGCAGTGCAAACATTGCCTTTTATTCTACAGTCTCTGATAAAGGCTCCTCTTCACAATGGGCTTGGGTTGGAAGAAAACAAAAAACAGAAATAAATTACGTTTTCTTAGAGTGGTAGAATTAGGGATTTTTTTTTTTTAAGATTTATTTATTCATGCATACAAGAGCTGGGGTACAGGCCAGAGATGCGGGGGGGTGAGAGGATTCACCAGAGACAAGAGCGGGGAACAGAACAGGCAGATTGACTGAAATACACTGCTGAGGGGAGCAGCGGGCGAGGCAGGAAAAGTCTGCTGTGCCATGTGCGTTGCTACCTGGCAAGCCGGGAATCAAACTCGTGGTGCAGAGGCTTCGGATTGCTTCGTAGTGTGGTGCTTAACCCCTTGTGCCACCAGGGAGGCCCCAGAATTAGGGATTTTTTAAATTGCCTCTGATACTATAAAGCTGTTTCAGAAAGCATTGTTTTAACATGCAGGACCCAAAAAATTACACATAGAGCAGTTGAAAGTAAAGAACAAAACAAATCAATGCTCTTTGGGAATTTATATAAATATTTTTAGTATTCAGAAGCAAGGTTTAATTGCTTAATGAAGCTAACATCTGTAAGATGATAAAATCAAAGTAGCTGTGTTGTACTGGGTCTTGCTTGAGCTGGAAGACAAGAGTTCAAATCCCAGCCTTGCCACTCAGGGAGGGCAATAATGTGCAAGTTACTAAATCTAGGTTTCAGAGATAAATGGAATAGCCAAGATGGCATCACTTCCATAGAATATTAACCAAAAATAATGTGACAGCAATAGCAGACTGGCACAGAGACACTCCGTAACAGACTTTATATTTAACATGAAAGTAAGCTCTAAAAGATCTGCACACACGGAATGCTTTCTGGCAGTCTCTCAAGCTACACTGGGGCCACACAAAGGGAACCCAATTAAAACCAACTCCATGCCAGGGATACTGCAATCAATAGCAGCTAGGCTTTCTGCCCCTAAGTTTCAGACATTCTTTGGCACAAGCAAGGCAGAGAAACAGAAAACTAATTCACCATCAAAGACAGAGCACACAGGATCTATGGGACCAAGGAGTAAGACAGAGGCTACTCCCCTAGTCTCAGAAGTCCACAGGGACAAGAGGGACGAGGCTGGACTGCGAGAAGGTGTTTCACACCAAATGCCCAGGACTCCCCCTCGGCCTGGGGCAGCCACGAGGGAACAGCTTCTGGTCCAGACTTGGGATGACAAACAGGAAGGCAGAAATTTCTCCAGGCAGAAAAGACACTTCTGAAGCAGGCTGCAACAGTGGGTGTGGTGTGAAAGCCTGTTCAGGGGAGGGGCCAGGACATCGGGACTCGCAGAGGACGAACAGGAAATGAGCCCACATGGAAATGAGGAGGCTCCTGAAGCATTATGGTCAAGAGCCTGGAAGGAACCAGCTCAGAGGAGGACAGGACAGATGACAGAGACCCAGCATCCAGCCTAAAAGCTGGCTGGTGAGTAGTCGCCTACTATCCTTTAAAATCTTCTCATTCATTAAATCATTCAGTGCTTGCAACAGAGGCTTCTGAACAATCCATCACACACTAGCCCAGAAACGCCACTAAGACTCTATTGCAGTGTGTCCTTACAGTACACCAGGGACAAAGCTCTGAAAACTCACCGTGTCCATCCCTAAGAGAAGGGGTCAGTCAATGTCAGTACAGCCGTATAATGCCACTCCTGCTAGCTGTTGTTATAGGAATGATCCATCTACGCAGCTGATACAAGAACTTCTTCCAAACAAGTTAACACAATATGTATAGCCTGATCTTATTTGCATAGGACTAGATAGCTAGATGGATAGACAGATAAGAGAGACACAGGTGTATCTTAAGACATTTCCTGGCGGGAAAAAAAAACCAATAAATTCTTAATGTGATGCTCTGTCCTCCCTGAATGTCCACATGGCAAATTATTTTCATCAGAAAATGTCTTATTGTCACTTGCTTTGTAAGGACTTTCCAAATACTAGTCATCCTCTACCATTCTTACTACTCTTCTCTTCCCTAGGGCACTGAGCACAGAGCCCTTTTTAGACCAACGGTGTATTCCCGCGTAGTGCGGTCTCCCGCATGAGGCCAGAGCGCTGAGCAGGTGCTGTGTTGACCACGACACCCCCACAGCAGGCACAGGCCTGAGCACACAGGAGATGCTGAACAGCACCTGACAAATGTCTACCTGTCTCTTATTCTTCTTTTAAGATTCAGCTCAAGTGAAGTGAAGCTTTTCCCACACTTGCCCAGTTTAGAAGTGACCCTTCCTCCCCTAGGCCTCACTGGCCTTTGTCAGTTTACACCCCTGTCTCCTGGTTCCACTGTCCGTAGAGGGCAAGAATCCGCAACTTCCTCTCCATCTACTGAGGTGCCTTTACACAGGCGGCACTTAAGAGATGGCTGAGAGCTGAACAGACAAAGTAAATCTCCAAGTCCCCTTCTTAATCTGGGCTTTTATGACTAGGATGTGAAGCAATGGTTTCTAAGTAGAAGGGGCCTAGAAACTCAGAGCTGAGGAAGCCCTACCCTGGACTCTCACTAGACTTGAGATGCGCGCTCATTGGAAAGGCCAGCGCGCCGGGGCTTGCAGGAGTGAAACAAGCAGACACATCTGCCTAATGACTTATTTTCAACAACATGTCCTAAATTCAGGCTTTTCCTGAATTTACTAAAATTACTACAAAAGAAACCAATTCAACTTTCCCATTTTAAAAATGAAACAGTTTTGTATCAATGTTGAACATCCTGGATTTGATGATTTTATCGAGGTGACATAAAAGAACCTACTAAAGGACTCAGGAGTAGATGTTACTGTGTCTGCAATTTACTCTCAACAGTTCCCCCCAAAATAAAATTAACAATGTGTGTTGGGTCAAGTATGGAAAAATGTTAACAACTAACAAATATGAGCAAAGGCTCTCTATGACTGTGATTGGACACTGCTACTTTCATGCAAGACTGAAATTTTTTAGGTAAAGAAAAAGAAGAAAGGGCCTCCCTGGTGGCGCAGCGGTTGAGCGCTGGGTTGCGAAGCTGCCCGCAGCCTCTGCAGCGCCGGTTGGATCCCCGGCTGCTCCCCGGCCACCGGAGGAGGATCCCACATGGCGTGCAGACCTCTCCTGCCGCCCGCTGCTCCCCTCAGCAGTGTACTTCGGTCCTTCTGCCTGCTCTGCTCCTGGCTCTGGCTCTGGTGAATTCTCTCACCCTCCCGTGCTTCTGACTGTACCCAGTGCTTGTATAAATAAATAAATAAATAAAAATAAATCTTTAAAAAAGAAAAAGAAGAAATAAAACTTGTTAATAGAAAAGGCTCTATCACCTTTACCAAGGCATCAGATGGGGAGAAATAAAAACAGTACTTTGATGGAGCTAACAAATACATTGGAATAAAGCAATTTGGAACAATTCTAAAATTACTCTAAGTATCTTCATTTTAAAATAATTACAAAGATTCATCCATATGGTATCTGGGGGTAAATCATTCTCCCCAACAAACAGGGAACATCTGTTGTATAAAACCTTATAAGAGGCTAGGTAACACAATGGAATAGCAAAGTCTCAAACTGGCAATTTCCAAACTATTCAAGGCAGCAGTTTTCCAAGCTCTGCTGAACAAAGATACCAAAATAAAACCATGAGAGATGAACAGCAGCTGGAAAGGCACCAGCCATGTGTGGCCTCTTATGAGCTCTAACCTCCACGATTTAACGGGGACTTTAACAGCAAAGTGAGAACTGCAAAATCCCCATTCTTCTTATATACCTTTGTCATTTTTTCTTTTTTTTGGTCATCAAAAAGCATACTCTTATTTAGCATTTAGAGCTAAGATACAAATGTAAAAAATCTGGTCTAAAAACAAAAACTACAACGAACAATGAGGTAAGAAAATTAATAAATTTTAAAAAGAACAACAAATATTACAGGCCCTGGGCCAGAGGCTTCACTCACTGTTTCTATTGGCTATGACCTAGTGTGTTAAGTAGGCTTGGTTGACACCATGTCCTCCTGGTGCAGTACCTGAGGTTCAGAAAGGAACTAATCACCCATGAACCCTCAGATATTAAGCAGTAAAAAGAAACTCACAGATTAAAATCACCGCTGCCTATACCAGGCATGACCCTGCTGTCAGCCTCCCTCCAGCTTCCCTCTGCCTGGAAGGCCCTTCCACTCAAAGCTCACGTTCCTCTCAAGACTACCTAACCTTCCTATGTCACACTACAATCTGACTCTCGCCCCACCACTCCCTAACCCCTTACCCTGCATTAGCATTTTTTTTAGAGATTTTTTGTTTGTTTGTTTTTGCGTACAAGAACTGGATTATAGGCCAGAGGTTCGGGGGGTGAGATTCACCAAAGACAAAGTGGGGAGCAGAACAGGGAGATCTACTGAAAGATACTGTTGAGGGGAGCAGAGGGCGAGACAGAAGGGTCAGCTGCACCATGTGGGTCAGCTCCCTAGCTGGGGATCGAACTCATTCTTTAGTGACTGGCAACAGCTTGACAGTGCTGAGACTTTTAACCCCTGCACCACCAGGGCGGACGGCATTAATCCTTTTTAACAGTTACCTTTAAAGATACTTGTGAATTTACAAGTAGATATTAGAACTAATACTTCAAGTTCACACATAACCACGACCCACTTTCTCCCAAAGGTAATATGTTATATAACTCCAGTACACTGTTATCTGTGTTACTTTTTTCTCCCAGTTTTTACACTTTCTATCATGTTTACTATGTATCTACCCCCACTAAAATATAAACTCCCTATAGGCAAGAATTTTTATCTAATTCCAAGCACCTGGAAGAGGGCCTGAACCCAAGAGGAATCCAATATACCTTGCTAAATGGATCAAATCACTGTATTGCACTGTCTCCTCTAACAGGAAACAGACATGCTCTTTAAGAAACCATCTTGTAAGTAAGTAGACTATGAAACATCAAGGAAACATCACACTCACCCATGGTGACGTAAGGCAACTTATCCGTGGATCCGTGGGGATAGATGCTGTAGAGGTGAGGTCCGGTAACATCTACTCCCCCTAAAACTAGGGCTGCACCAATGTAACCTTGATACCTGGTGACCAGAACATGCACAAGAAAGAAAATGAGTCTACATTGCATCACTGTAACTTTACAGAAAGCTGTACAGGAAGTCAGACAACAAAAAGCTTTTCTTATACTGCAACTGTTTCATTAAGTGAAACAAAAGAGAACAAAATGACAAATACTAGTTGACTACCTTTATGATCAGTCAATAAAAACTGTAAGTGTGCTAGGCACTCCACATACCTTCTTGCACCTCTCACATTCCCCTTTTAAGAAGGCACCACAGTTTTCACATCAGAGCCACCAAAGACATTAAGTGCCTATGTTGCGGAACTCCAAAGATTTTCAGCACCCTTGCCATCAGCCCTCTCTGTGACCAGCAGATAAGCTAAGTTAATAGCGAGGAATTACTACACGCAATCTGTTCAAATTATCAACCTCACCAGACAACAGCTCATGTCAAAACACCTTTTCCTTTGAATAAATCCACAAAACTATCACCACAGATATTTGCGTGAAAAAGAAAAGCATGTCATCACTCAGGGAAGTGAGCGATGAAGTAACTGCATGACGGCCTATTTCAGAACCCATGGCCACTGCCCACGGGATAAAGCTGTACTCGCCAGCGTGGGCAGGGAACACTTTTGACCCCACCCCACCTCCTTACTTGTTCCTTCAGGGTCTTAGCCGATTGGTGTGCCACTGCTATGGACTGTTTGCTTTCCCCTATCTCGTTCCATTTTTCTCCCACTGAATTGCTATGCTAGGTAAGTAAGCTGGATTTAAAGTTCTCTACTGCGAGTTTTCAGCACTTTGGAAAGAAAAGTGAAGCTAACACATGCTGATTTGCCTAATGATACAATCACCAAAACTGCTACAAATAAATTAACACAAGAACCAAAGTCAGGGCCTCCCTGGTGGCGCAGGGGATTAAGCACCGCACTATGAAGCAATACGCAGCCTCTGCAGCACGAGTTCGATCCCCAGCCAGGGACCTACCCACATGGCACAGCAGACCTCTCCTGTCTCACCCGCTGCTCCCCCCTCAGCAGTGTATTTCAGTCAGTCTGCCTGTTCTGCTCCCCACTCTGTCTCTGGTGAATCCTCTCACCTTTACACCTTTGGCCTGTACCCCAGCTCTTATATGCACAAATAAAAAAACTTTAAAAAAAAAAAAAGAACCAGTCATACTTTAGAGTACCTCAAACTTAACTACTCAGCAAGAAGTGCTCCAGGTAACGAAATCAAGTCCAGTCTTTCCCCATCCCTTGATTACCATATTGTTATTTCAGAAAGCATGTTCCACTCATTAGTGAACAATTAAAAAGCAAGAAAGGATTTCAGAAGCAGCCTCAAAAAGGCCCAGAGACCCAGACGGGAGAAGAAACTGGTGCAAAGCCACATGAGCTAGCCATGGGGTCAAGACCAGACCCCGTGAGACGGGCTGAGAGGTCAGAATCAACAGCCCTCCACTCCTACAGCCCAGACTAAGCCATCCATGCCCTGCCTATCAGCAGAGGCTTAAAGAAAATCAACTCTAAGCAGCTGGTTCCCTTCCAAGCTAAAACATCATCCTGTTTGAAGTCTTTTTAAGAGTCTTAAATATTTTGGCAAGTTATTGAAATCCTTAAAAGTTTTCCCAGAAACTCTACTTTCAGGAATCTAATTCTAAGGATATAATTGAATAAATATGCATAAATGAATGCACAAGGATGTTTAATAAGTGGAAACAGAGGGAGAACTGGCTAAGTGAGCTGACACCATATACAGTAGAATACTACAAGATCTGAAAACAATAATATATTTTCTTTTATGTTGTTGATGGTAGCAACGATGTTATCAAAATGTTAAATAGGCATTATCTTGGACCTAGCAATTTCACTTCTAGGAATTTCAGAATATAGCCTAAGTCAAGTCACTCTAAAGTTTCTGTGTTCTAAAGGGGTCATGGAATACATACTAATATTGTAAAGAGCTTAAAACAAACAATACTGTTGAAGTTCAAAAACTGGTTGCCGTCTATTCACAGAATGGAATACAATGACACCACCAAACAAATCAAATCAACATTAAACAAGGGAAAAGATGCCCAAACCCTCTCTTTCCACTGATTCCCATACAAGGAAATGGGTTATTCAGGGGGGAAAGGTACAGTGCTAGAAAAGAGTACCCCTTGCTCTTTTTCAGGCTCTGAATATTAAGAGGATATTACTATGCATTAGGGGCCTCCCTGGTGGCACAAAAGGTTAAGAGCTATCCGTAGCCACTGCGGCATGAGTTCAATCCCTGGCCAGGGAGATAACCACATGGCACAGCAGACCTCTCCTGACTCGCCCGCTGCTCCCCTCAGCAGTGTGGTTCAGTCGATCTGCCTGTTCTGTTCCCCACTCTGTCTCTGGTGAATCCTCTCACCCCCCAACTGCTCTGGCCTGTACCCCAATTCTTGTACATATAAATAAATAAATCTTCAAAAAAAAAAAAAAAAAACTGTGCATCGAGCCCTGTCCTGGACACTGTCATAAGCCTTGCTTCTTTATTCATTTCCTCCTCGAAAGTCAGGGGCCTCCCTGGTGGAGCAAGGGGTTAAGATGCAACCTATGAAGCTATCTGCAGCCACTGCAGCACTAATTTGATACCCCAGCCAGCCAGGGAGCAGCCCACATGGTGCAACAGACCTCTCCTGACTCGCCTGCTGCTCCCCATAGCAGTATATTTCAGCAAACTGCCTGTTTTGTTCCCCACTCTGTCTCTGGTGAATCCTCTCACCATCCATACCTCTGGCCTGTACCCCAGTTCTTGTATGCATAAATAAATCTTTATAAAAAAAAAAAGTCAGAGACCTCTATTACCCCCATTTTCTTGAGGAAGAATCTGAGACTAAGGAACATGAGGTGAACAGCTCAAGTTCACACACTGTTAAATGCTGTGCACTGAATGTGAACCAAAGTTCAAAAATCAAATCCTATTCTTTTTTCCCTTATACCACTGACTCATTTTATATAACTCAACAAAAATGTTAGAAAATATATATATTGAAAGTTCCTCTCAAAATTTTTACAAATAAACACTGCAAGAAGAGATTTTACAATCCCTAAAATATTCTAAAGTGATTAACAGAAATATCTTGTAGATTACTTAGCTGATCTTTAGATGACATTGCAAGGAATCTTAAAATAACCTACTCCCATTTTACATGTTTAAAAATTACTTCAAATGTAATGCACCATACAAACCACCAGGGGGAGCGTTGTATTTAAAATAAAAATCACAAGTGTGTTCAGAAATCTTGAGGACAGGTGCGCAGTAACAAGCTTTCAGACTATACTAGGTAGATTTGATAGGCAACAACTCTCCAAGAGTAGCATGATGGTTATGTGCATAAATAAGAAGAAATCACAGGCACAGGGCGCAGTAAAGGCAGCAGGAATTAGACAATGACATGACGAGGCTTTGTGCCCATCAAATTCCTAAGTCGGTCTCACCCATAAAATGGAAACTATGGGCCTCCCCTGATGGCACAGTATTTGAGCGCTGGGCTGCGAAGCTGCCCGTGGCCTCTGCAGCACCGGTTTGATCCCTGGCCACCGGGTGAGGGTCCCACATGGCGCGCAGACCTCTCCTGCCGTGCCCGCTGCTCACCTCAGCAGTGTATTTCGTCAGTCTGCCTGCTCTGCTCCCTGGTCTGGCTCTGGTGAATTCTCTCACCCTCCCGCGCTTCTAACTGTACCCAGTGCTTGCATAAACAAATAAATAAATCTTTAAAAAAAAATAATCCAACAAATCAGTTTTTAAAATTCAAATCCCTCAATTTATAATCCTCGGTCACTACTTCAAAAAAACAAACAATAAAGGTTTTCTAATACGCTAAAACAGCCTGTGAGCTGCCAGCTTACACACTGCTTTCTCTTCCGGCCCCCCTGATATCACACAGCCACCCTAGGTGCTTTCTACAAACAAGGAAAAAGAACCTGCTGAAGGCAAGTCCCCAAAGGGGAACCAACACTGCAATCCAAGACAAAATGTCCGGGTTACTTCCACCACCTTTGCTCTCAAAGGAGCAAAGGAGAAAGTGAACTTAAAATCTGAAAACTGTTGAGAGTTAATCAAACAAAGCAACCTGATTACTGAGGAAGGAAGAGAAACAAAACCAGGTGGGAGTCAGTAGGGAGTGAAGGTCAGGTCAGGCCAGTGACTATTCCTCCTAAAGCCTCAGTCTGTTCCCTCATTAATCAGAGATATTAATAACCCCAATCTCAGTCAAAAGAGAAAAAGAGATCATGCATGAAAAACACTTAGCATAGGGCGGTGCAAAGAGACAGAAAAATATCAGTTAATAGTAATGTTGTTGGGGGCCTCCCCTGGTGGTGCAGCGGTTGAGCGCTGGGCTGCAAGGCTGCCCGCAGCCTCTGCAGTGCTGGTTCAATCCCCGACCACCGGCGAGGGTCCCACAAAAAAAAAAAAAAAAAAAGTAATGTTGTTGGATCCACTCAATATCACTTTTAATTTTATTGTTATTTTCCTCATAGAAGAGGAGAAAAATCACAATCCTTTGTGCATGTATTTACAAGATGAGCTCAAAGTTTCCTTCCAATATGAACAAAAAGGTTTTTTTATCCAATAATATCCCTATGCCTCATGAAATGACTCAACTGTGAGTCGTTTATTTACGGAAAAAGACCTCAAATACACTATAAAAGACACATGAAACTACAATGGCTTTTCAGTAACAAATGATTTTTGGAATAAAATGTGTACTTGTGAAGGTTTTTTTCTCTAGCTTCCCTATTTCCCTTGGCTGAAAATTTAAGACATGAGGAAAAAAATTGCTACAAGAAATCCCCATCCTGGAACCTTACCTGAAAAGCATCTGCTTCAGCATTCGATTGGCCGTCACAACTCTGGGAAGGCGGCCAGTAGAGAGGGAATGGAGTTCCAAGTTGGAAGAAATGAGCTGGGTTGTCATGTCTGTATCTGCAGCTGTCCCAGCACCACAACAACTAAAAAACACGATTAGAAATTTAGCTGAAATTCAATCCCCAAAGGGCTCAATTAGAAACAAAGCTTCCTGGATCACTTCCACCAAGTTTAGGTCATAAAGAATTTTTTTATATTATCTCTGCACTGTAACTGCTCTGGTCTAACTGATCTTAAATAAACATAAAACTCAGAATACACATCTAATTATATGCAGATATACTTTCTGTGGTCCAATGGGACATTTCAGATCATTGGTTTCTGTGCTTCTAACAAAGTATGCACTTTACTAATCCTATAAATACAGCCATCTGCTCCACGAGCAAGGTGTGTTAAGAGCTGCGATTCACCATTTATCAAATATTTACTAGCATGTAGCAGGCAATACACTAAGTACTTAGAATAAAGAAAATGTGATGCAATCCTGGCACCTGACTGAAAATTGAGTGGAGGAGACACGGGTAGACAAGAATTATATTACCTCGGATAATAAAACACAGTAGCAGAGGTAAAAATGCTATGGGGAGCTGGAAATGAGAGTAATTGAATTTGATCTTTGAGAAGAGGTTTCACATGAGCTGGATTTGGAACAATGTATAAGCAGGAAAGAGGAAAGGGTGTTTCTAAGAAGAGGGGCTGGTATAAGCAAAGGTAAGACAGCTTGGTGATGAGAGGAACAGGGACACGAGAGAAACAGAAATAATCCAGGTGTAAATGGCAGGGGGGGGGAGTAGGGGGTGATGGCAACTAAATAGGATGGAAGAGTAAGGATTTGTGAGATTGTGCAAGACCTTAAATATCATGTTACAGAGTCTCAATTCTATTCTGAAAGCAGTGTGCAAATGTGAAAGTATCTTGAAAAGTTTTTAAAGAGGACAGGGGAATATCTGATCTGAGTTTTACAAAATTCAAGATGACAGAAGAGTGAACAGGATGGAGAAGAAACCAAAGGCAGAGGCCAAGGAATGACAACTGATAGTCCAGTGGAGAAAAAAAATCCACACTAAAGTCTTAACAGAGGGAAGGAGGGAAAGAATGGATTTAATCTGAAGGTTAAAGGAAAAGGGAGAACTTGAGAATAACTAGCTTCAAAAGCAGGTGGCTAGAAATGCCATTTAAGGAAATACAAAGAAAATACAGGCTAGTGAGAAAATACTCCAAGTTAACCAATACTTACTAAATGTTAGGAGATATGAAGTGTATTTTTGAACAGTTCTTGTCAGCAACAACCATCCCTTCAGTTGCCCTTGTATCTGCTCCAAGAACAATGCCATCCTATTAAAAAATAATAACAATTTTACATATATAAACCACAGCTCTCTATTCTCATTTAGAGAAAACAACATTGGCATCCCATGATCTTCCAATCCACCCCTCACCCTATCCCTTTCAATAACACCTACCAAACATATTATATACAATATACCTTCAGAATAAAAGAAAGGTTATTAATAAACCTTAGCTGAATCCTGACTAATAAGAATTCTCATTCCTGGGGCCTCCCTGGTGGCTCAGGGGTTAAAGACACAATGTTATCAAGCTAGCGCCAGCCACTGCAGCACAAGTTCCAACCCCGGCCAGCCAGGGAGCTAAACCACATGGCACAGCAGACCTCTCCTGACTCTTCCTCTGCTCCCTTCAGCAATATATCTCAGTAGATCTACCTTTTCTGCTCCTCACTCTGTCTCTGGTAAATCCTCTCTCTCTCACACACACACACACACACACACCCCACCATCCCCACACCTCTGGCCTATACCCCAGTTCTTGTACACATAAATAAATCTTTTTAAAAAGGGGGGGGCCTCCCTGGTGGCACAGGGGTTAAGACACAACCCATGAAGTTGTCTGCGGCCACTATAGCATGAGTTAGATCCCCCGCCAGGGAGCAACCCACATGGTGCAGCAGACCTCTCCTGACTCACCCTCTGCTCCCTTCAGCAGTGTATTTCAGTCAATCTGCCTGTTCTGCTCCCCACTCTGGTGAATCCTCTCACCCCCCCCCCATACCTCTGGCCTGTACCCCAGCTCTTGTACACACAAATAAATAAATCTTTTAAAAAATAAAATAAAATGAATTTTAAAAAAGAATTACCGTTCCTGTTTTCAAAATGAGGCTCGGAAACTTAGTGAATTCCTTACAAGTCACAGAGCTAATATGGGAATATCTGAATTACAATGAAGAAATCCTCCCATTTAAACTGCCATCCCTATAGATGCCTTTATGTCACTGTTTACCTTTAACAGCAACAATCTTCCCTTTTGACCCTTACAAATTTAAGGCAGGAGTCATGATATCCACGTCATGAATGTGCAAAGTGTGGCGCTGAGAAATGTCATCTGCCCAAAATTGCAAGCAACACAGAAGTTAACTGTCAGATAGACCTGTCAACGCCAAATCTTGTGTTCTCCCATTATATCATCCTGCTTCCGAATGGGGAACTTAAGAAAATTGACCTCCTGTCAAAAACTCTGCAATGTCAAGGAAGAATATAAACATAAAGGATATAAGCCTCCTGACAAACAATTCTTCCCTAAAGGACCTCTTCCTGCTGTATTCTGGAACATGCCCCCTTCCCACGGAGCCCCGAGAGGTAAAGGAGCCAATTGTCTTGGTTCCTGGCATCAGTTAGGTCTGTCGCGGCTGCTCCTGGCCCGTCCGGCTTACCTTATAGACCACCCCCGCGATGGTCGTCCCAGTTTTCCGGGCCGCTGGAAGCTTATAACCTTTCTTTGCAAAATCGGCTTCCAAGATGGCATTTCTGAGAGCAAATGAAAGGATAAAATGTCTTAGGGCAGGACGGAAAGTGCCTACTAAGGCTCTCAGGAAAAGAAAATCTATTCTTTGCTTTCACGCCCATCTGTTCACTGAATCCTCCCAACGCCAGGACTCCTGTCCCTCTTTTCAGCGAAGAGAGGGGCAGAGGAGGGGCGGGGGTCCGGGAGCGCGGCCGCAGCGCGAGGCAGACCCGCCTCAGCAGCACCCACGCCCGGCCCGGATTCCCCTGAGTCACACGGGCCGCGGGCGCGCGCCACGCCGACCTCCCTTGAGGTGTGAAACCCGGACTTCCCCTTCAGGCTGAGGCCCGACTTCGACCCCGAAACCACTCTCACCCCCGCCCTGAACCCCGCCCCGGCCTGGGCTGCACCTGCGACAGTTATCGAAACAGAAACCTCCAACCGCAGGTTGATACACTGACACGGCCGCCATCTTCCCAAGGAACCACTTCCGGGGGGGAGGCGGGAGCAAGTGAGCCAGGGAGCACTTCCGGCGCCGCGGGCGGCTGCGCCGAGGGGGCGGGGCGGACGCCGGGCGCGGGCGCTTGATCTTCGAGTCACTGGCTCCTAGAGGAGCCCGGCGGTGTTCGGAGTAGATCGCCCCCAGTGGCCCGGAGGAGAAACTGGCGCCCTCGGTGGCAAAAGGACTTTTCCAGAGGCTGGTCCAGAGACTGGGCGCCTTGTCGTGCAGCCGGGAGGTGTTTCTCCCCTGAATCCCGCTGCCCTGCACTTTGGAGACAAACAAACCCAAGTGTCGTGCAGCCCGGAGGTGTTTCTCCCCTGAATCCCGCTGCCCTGCACTTTGGAGACAAACACACCCAAGTGCCAGCAACAGCCCCACCATCTCCTCGCACTGAGCAAGTGCTCTCAACTCTGAAAGGGTGTCCTTCCCTGTCAAGGAGGTAATACTGTCCTCCAAAGGGTACTGTGAAATGAGCAATAAGCACCGAAAAGATGCAACACAGAAGTTAACTGTCATTGCATTAGGGAAATGCAAATCAGAACCACAATTAGCTACCACTTCATACCCACTGGGATGGCTGTAACCAAAAACACAGAAAATGACAAATGTTGGTGAGGATGTGGGTAAACTGGAATCCTCCTACCTGGCGGGTGGGAGGGTAAATCAGTGCAGCAGCTCCAGAAAACAGTTTGGCAATTATCCAAAAAGATAAACATACACCCAGCAATCTCCCTCTGAAATATATACCCAAAAGAATTAAAAACATGTTCACAAAGATTTGCACACCAATATTCATAGCAGCATTATTTGTAATAAGAAAACGTGGTACATCCATACGACGGAATATTTTTCAGCCAGAAAAAGGAATAAAGCACAGACGCCGGCCCCAACTGGGATAACATTCACCCACTGTGCTCATTGAAAGTGGTCAGGCACAGGAAGTCACAAAGAGGATGGTTCCCTTTATATGAACTGACTGTACTTCATAAGCAAATCCAAATAGCAGATAGTAAAGTAGTAGTTGCTAGGAGATGGGGGGACAGAATGGGGAATGGCTGTTGGTGGATACAGAATCTCCTTCTGTGGTCATGAAAATATTCTGAAATTAGGTCATGGCAGCTGTCACACAGCATTGTGAATATACTAAATATAATAACCACTATATTTCAAATAGTGGATTTTATGTCATGTGAATTTGATTTCTGTTTTCAAAAGACTGCTGTGAGAATTGAAAATTGCCTATGGAAAATTATACACTGGAACACTGCAGCTTTTCAATAAATTGCTATCATTGTCAATGCAATCACTTAGCCCTGCCAATAGTCCTAAGAAATATAATTAAACTTATTTTACTGCTGGGAATTAAGGTTCATTCAAGTGGAATAATGTGCTCAAATTTACCTAGCAAGGAAATGGCCGCCGTAACTTGTGGGTCAATTAATTTATTCAATCAGCAAATATTTTTAAGTACCTACTGTGTGTCAGGCACATTTCAGGGTATGAATGAACACACAGCATCCAGTCTTCCAGAACCTTTGTCTAGCACAACTATGTGTTCCATAAATTTGGTGTTAAAGGTTCAATTCTTTTTCACTCTTCTCTGAGTCTATATGTGTAAAAACAGGAAAATAAAGCCTCCTTGTCTCCGTAGGAGTCTACTGGTGAACACATGTGTGACTCTCCTGTGTATCCAGCTTTCCCTGTTAGTGAAAGTAGAGAGTAAAAAGACTTGTGCTCTGTTCTCCAGAAGCCCATTTCCTGAAGATACTCAATTCCACAGACTGTGCCAGTCGTAATGGACGCGGCCTGGATACTGCACGGTCAGTAGATAATTATTGAATGAAGGACAGCCTCTCCGCAAACACTCTCTCTCCTGAGCTCAGCTCTGAGGGAATGAACACAAAGATGAATCAGATGCCGTTCTTCTCCTCATGTTTTGGGTTGAATTGTGTCCCCGCCCCCCAAAAACACCATATTGAATTCCTCCTCCCAGTACCTCACAGGGTTTTCTTATTTATTTAGAGATCGGGCCTTGACAGAGGTAATAGAACTAAAATGAGGTCATTAGGGTGGGCACTGGTCCATCGTGACCAGTGTACTCCTAAAGGGAAAAATCTGGAGACAGACACGCACACAGGGAGACCATCACGTGAAGATGAAGGCAGAGGTGAGGTGATGCTTCTACAAGCCCAGGACCGTCAAAGATGGCCAGAATCTGCACAAGCCAGGCGACTGGAGTAGAACAGTTTCTTCCTCCCAAAAGGAACCAAGCCTGCTCACAGGTATCAGGCTTCTAGCCTCCAGAACTGTGAGACAACAGGTTTCTGTTGTGAGCTTGCTTTGCCCATCCAGCATTTCTTTTTTTAAAAAAAAAGATTTATTTATGCATGCATGCAAGAACTGGGGTATAAGCCAGAGGTGCAGCGAATGAGAGGATTCACCAGAGACAGAGTGGGGAGCAGAACAGACAGATTGACTGAAACACACTGCTGAGGAGAGCAGTGGGCAAGACAGGAAAGGTCTGCTGTGCCATGTGTGTAGCTCCCTGGCCGGGGATCGAACTCATGCTGCAGTGGCTGTGGATAGCTTCATAGGTTGCGTCTTAACCCCTTGCGCCACCAGGGAAGCCCCCCACCCAGTAATTCTCATCTTAACGGGTCTCTTTGGTAATGTTTTCACACCCAGACCAAGCTGAGGAGGTGGCACTGATGCGTGGCCTCTGGAGGTGGCCCAGCAGAGGCAGCAGGAGCCCAGCAGAGGGCGATAGAGAACCTCCACGCAGCCTGGGCCTGGACCTCCAGAGGCAGCGCCTGAGGCCCACAAACCCCACTCCACCAGGAGCAGGGCCAAGGTGCCAGCAGCGGGTGGGGGGCAGCTCCAGCACCTGGTGCTCAAAGACCCCTGGTCCAGCCTCCCAGTCCAACAGGACCGCAGCCCCCTGGACAGCAGTCTCTCCGGGGCCTGAACACAATCCTGTCAGTGCCACCAAACCGACTGGCCAGTAAAGCCACCACTTCCACCCTGCATTTGACTGTGTGACCCCGCGGGAAGCCATCAGGCTCTCGGGGGCTCAGTTCCCGAATAATAAAATACTAACCACCATGTCCAGTGTCCAGGTTCCACCCACTTTATACCAGGATCTCGTGACTACCCCAGGCACCTAGGATGTGCCAACACTAGGAAAGCAGGAGATCAAGAGAAAGGAATCATGCCTGCCCCTGGAGAGCAAGCAACCCCGAGGCCTGGGCATCACTGCCCACATTGCAGACCAGGCCGCTGAGGCCAAGCAGTGACGTCACTGACTCGCAGGTCACACAGCTGATAAGATTCAGATCACACTCCTCCCAAACCTAGACACGCAGCACCATGTCCCCGGCACCCACAATTGTAGTCCTGATGAAACCCAAGTTCCCATGTTCCTTGGGGCTTCACCAGAGCAAAAGCAAGGTTTCCTTCTCTGGAATTCTCATTGCCTCTGGGTCAGTAGCCAGCTGTGTGAGCTTAGGCCGGTCTCTGCACCTCTCTGAACCCTAGTTTCCTCATCCATTAAACGAAAGAACATTTTGATCTTTCCCTCACCCCGTGATACCTGATGAGAGCATGCGGAGTAAACCGTGAAGCTCTTTCCATATTTATTCACCCAGTGTTTTATTTATTCCATATTTATTCACCCGCCTCGTTGCTTTACGGGGCTCTGGGCCAGATCACAGCCATCTGGGCGCTGGTCTGGGAACTGCATCTGTAGTTCGTAGTGCTGGATTGCCAGAGCACAGCCAGGAGAGGGCAGGAGACTGGGCCTGGTGCAGCAGGATGGGCACCCCAGGGGACAGGAGTGAACTCCAAGACCAGAGGTCAGCAATGCATCTGACCCAGAGAATGGAGCTGTGCGCGGCCCCTGCATCTACCTGGGTTATCCAAGGTCCTGGCTAGCACCTCCCCAACCTGCAGGCTGCTAGAATCCAGCGTGAGATGCCCTGGGAGGCTCACCCCATCCTCTGGCAGGACACACACACGGGGACGGAGGGGGACTCACAAGGAAACTTGGCCCTCTTCCCACTGCAGGGAAAGCAGCCCATGATGCTCCTGGTTGCTAAGGCAACTGGGCCCTTGTTTTTCCTTCTTCATAAATAAGCTATAAATAGACAGGGCGAACCTGGGCTCCTTCCTGTGCATGAATTAATGCAGCTGCTTCCGACTCCAGGACTCCTAGCCCAGCACCCAGGTACCAAGCCTCACAGCACAGGCCCTGGAAACAAGCTCCAGTGGGAGGGGCTCAGAGGGGCACAGGGGCGCGCAGGCAGTGTGGACCCCCTCCACCATCTCAACTGTCCTGGGATACTCAGCAGATGCTGGGGCCCTACCAGGGTCCACAGAATCCAATCACTGTAAGCAGAGCCTGGGATGGGTGTTTAATTACTGAACCCCCAGAGAGAAGATGAGCCCAGGCCTTGCCACCCCAGCTGATGATGAGCTGGAGGGGGGTGGGGATCATCCCTTCCTCCTGCGGGGCCTGGGGAAGCCACGAGGAAGCCGTGAGCCACACCTCCCACTGTGGAAGCGTGTCAGAATGTGCATGCCCTTCCCCCCCTGGTTTCACCATCGCTGCTGACATGGACTCGAGACCAGGCTCTGTGTTAAGGGCTTCACAAGCCACAACCCCGTTAACTGCCACCGCGCATGCGGAAGGCACTGCTTTGATTTCCAATGAGTTGGGGAGAGGAGGGGCTAGCTCAAAGTCATCCCGCTGCCTAGCACGGGAACTGGAATTTGAACCCAGGCCTGTCCTGTCCAGAGTGCTTGTCCTTAACCCCAACCTCTCCTTGCAGCGAATTTGGTTGTCTTAATAAACCCCAAAAGGGGGGAACAGCAGATGGGATTCCTGAAGAGGGGAAGGAACGGAAAGAGAAACTGAGGCTCAGAAACCCTAAGGACTGGCCTGAGGCCACCCAGGGGGAAGAGTCAGAGTTGAGACTTGGGTCCTGGAGGGCAGGCTGCAGAAAACGG